TGCCCAAGCAGTTCTTCAGTCCTTAAATTCCCTCCCTGATTCAGGGACACTTTCTAAAGCCCCCCTGCCCAATTAGGCTGCCAAAGAACACCCCCCCCCCAATTATTAAGCACCCTCCATTATTACCCAGGCACTCCAGTCTTTTAATCCCCCTCCCCCATTCAGGAGTACCTTTCTAAAAAAAAACCTGCTCAATTAGGCTGCCTAAGACACCCCCATTATTAAACACCCCACCTTCATTAAAAACACACGCCCATTATTAAATACAGACACACACACACACCCCATTATGCCCAGGCAGTTCTTGGGGGTCCTTTCAGTGTTTTAAGTTCCTCTTTTGATTGGATTCAGGGGCACCTTTCTAAAGTCCCCCCTACCCAATTAAGGCTGCCTAAGCCAACCCCCTTCCCCATTATTGCCCTCTTCCTTGGGGTTCAGGCAGACTTCAGTCTTTTTAAGGGTCTCTCTTTGAATTCTCCACACACACCCCAACAAGAACCTTGTAAGGAAGTTTACCTGAGTCAGAGAGCCCCCCCTCCCCTTCCCAAGAGCCACTGTGGGATGCCAACCTGGCCTTCCCCTCCACCCCAAGGGCATATAAATGGGGTGCTGCCCCTTCCCTCCCCCAGAATATATTGGAGTAGGCCTGGAAGAGGGTGGTTGCTTCTAAAGGATTTGAAAAGGTTGCTAACAAGATGGAGTTTCTCCCCCCACAAAAAGGCAGCTCAGCAGAGAAAGGATTCCCCTCTGGGGTTGTCCATCAACAACCCTGCAAGGTAGGTCAAGGGATGTCCAACCTTGGCAAGTTTAAGACTGGGGGACTTCGACTCCCAGAATTCCCCAGCCATAGTTCCCTTAACTAAACCAGGGGTGTTCAACTGGCAGAGAAATCCTGGGAGTTGAAGACCCCCAAGTCTTAAAGTTACTAAGATTGGACACCTCTGGTTCAATTCTGGGAGTTGAAGACCCCAAGTTGCAGAGGTTGGACACCGCTGGTCTAAATCCAGGACGAAGAATAACCGCTTGGCCTGAAGACGAACTGGCTGGGAGAGGCTGGCCTTCCTGCTCCTTTCCCTTCTGAGAAGTAGACAGCTGGTTGCTTCCAAGATCGCTTGACCCATCTTTTCTGGGCCTCTGCCAAGGTGGCATGATTGGGGTTGCACTCCGAAACTCCCCAAGGGAGAAACCCACAGCTTGACCTAGTTCTTACTCATTTTGCCACCCTTGTCAGAAGAGAAAGAGGGGGGGGGGATTTTTTTTTTTTTAAAAGCCGAATGATCCTCCTAGCAGGACGTTTTGAACAGTGGTGGGGAGGCCCTTTCTCTGGTCATCAAGGCCAGACTTTCCGGGGGACGTTTTCTGCCTCGAGCAAGCGTTGGGATGGTAGAGCCTCCGGGTGATTCTGCCAGACAGGTTCCCCTGCTTGTGATAGTAGAAGAAGAGCAATTCAGGCGTCTCTACTTGCAATGGCTGAGCCAAGGAATGACTCAGAGAGCAGCAGCACCCTCATGGCCGGTGATGCAATCTTGAATGGTGGAGATGTCACCTTTCTTTTGCCAGTAGAGAAAGTTGGGGGTGGGGTGGGGAGTATTTCCTGGTAGTCTCAACCATTGCTGTGAAACCACTCAGAGGACTCTTCCATCAGAAGTCTTCAAACTTGGCAACTTTAAGACTTGGGGACTTCAACTCCCAGAATTCTCCAGCCAGCATAGCTTGCAGACTTCAACTCCCAGAATTCTCCAGCCAGCATAGCTGGCTGGGGAATTCTGACAATTAAAGTCCCTAAGTCTTAAAGTTGCCAAGTTTGGACACCCCTGTTCTTCTTCCCAAGCCACTCTTCAGTAAGAGATTTGGTTGGTGATCCTTTTTCTTGACTTTTCCCATAACACTTCCCCCCCCACTCCCTTTGCTGTAAAACTCACTGCCTTTGAGATAAGATTAGGCTCAGGAAGGGACGCGGTGGCTCAGTGGCCAAGACAGCTCTCCAAGCCAGAGAAGGTCTGTGACTGTAAATCCACCCTGGAAAGATTTTGCTGGAGGTGTATGAGCAGAACTCACAGTCAATTAATCATTATTATTATTTTTTTGTTGGGATCAGGAGTTTGCTTCATGCTCTTGGGAAGCCTTGGTCAGAACAAGATAAGAGCATGAAAGCCATCTGGCTGGCTCTCTCAATCCAATCAACTTCACAGGGTTGTATTGAGGAAAATAGGAGAAGGGCTGTTTTGTTGGATATGTTCGCCACCTTGATTTATTTGTATGAATAAGGGCAGGACATAAATAAGGGCAGCATCATGTCTCCTAGAGCAGTGTTTCTCAACCTTGGCAACTTGAAGATGTCTGGACATCTCCCAGAATTCTCCCAGATGTCTGGACTCTCCCAGAATTCTGGGAGTTGAAGTCCAGACATCTTCAAGTTGCCAAGGTTGAGAAACACTGTCCTAGAGTTCCAGAAAGTCTTGAAAACCTTGGTTTGGTCCCAGGTCTGGAGTTGATGTTTTATTATTTGCCTAGGGTCCCTGTTTGGTTGATTTTGTTTATTACATCATTTTAGTCTGGGCTCTTTGGCCGATGAAGTGTTTCTAGTTGGGTTTGTTTTTACAAAACTAGATTTGTACGCTGCCCAAGAGTCGATTAGAGTTGGGTGGCTAATAAGATTTGAAATAAGCATTTGTTTTATGGGGCAAACTCTTCAGTAAGTTAGATATGTAAAGAAATCCATTATACCCTGCAACAAGAATTGATTCCAAATAGGGAAGACCTAAGGGCACATGACGGCTCAATGGCTAAGAACTCTGAGCATGTCGATGAGGAAGGTCGGCAGTTCAACGGTTCGAATCCCTAGCACTGCATAACGGAGGGAGCTCCCGTGACTTGTCCCAGCTTCTGCCAACCTAGCAGTTCGAAAGCATGTAAAAAATGCAAGTAGAAAAATAGGAACCACCTTTGGTGGGAAGGTAACAGTGTTCCGTGCGCCTGCTCTGTGCGCTTTCGGCATTGAGTCATGCCGGTCACATGACCACAGAGACGTCTTTGGACAGTGCTGGCTCTTCGGCTTTGAAACTGAGATGAGCACCGCCCCCGAGAGTTGGGAACAACTAGCACATATGTGTGAGGGGAACCTTTACTTTTAGAGACCTGATTAGCTGGCTCTCTTTTTTTTTCTTTAATGTCAGATTATCTGTTGATCTGGTTCCTATGCTTATCAGGATTGTGCAAGCATACTTCTGGAGACTGCCCAATCATTTCTATTTTATTTATTTTTTAATCTTGCCAGCATCTGAACGAGCAGAGAAACTGAATCCAACATTTCATTCAAGTTGGAGATTTCTGGCTTGTTATAACCCAGTACGGGTCTTTAAAATATTGGAATCCAGGGCTTCATGCTTTTATTAACTTTATTAAATATTTAGCAAACTGCTTGGAGGTGCCCTACTTTAACTGTTGCTTCGGGGAGAAAGTCTCCCAGTGAGACCATTTATTTAGCCGCTTGCTTGCGTTACCCTGTTGTTTGATCTCCACGAGACAGAATTCTTCCAAGTGTTGTCTTTTGAGGGACATCCAAAGCACAGGTATCCCATCTGCACGCGGAATAGCTCCGTTCCTGAAGACATTTTGTGAAATGCCTTGTTTTTAATACGAAACCACTGATTTAGCATTTTGCAAGCTTTCTGAAGGGTGGCTCAGTGGCTAAGACGCTGAGCTTGTTGGTCAGAAAGGTCAGCAGTTCGGCAGTTCAAATCCCTAGCGCCGTATAACAGTGAGCTCCCGTGCCTTGTCCCAGTTTTTGCCAACCTAGCAGTTCGAAAGCATGTAAAAAATGCAAGTAGAAAAATAGGAACCACCTTTGGTGGGAACATCACGGCGTTCCGTGCGCCTCAGCATTGAGTCATGCCGGCCACATGACCACGGAGACGTCTTCGGACAGCGCTGGCTCTTTGCCTTTGAAACGGAGATGAGCACTGCCCCCTAGAGTCGGGGATGACTAGCGCATATGTGCGAGGGGAACCTTTTACCTTTAAGCTTTCTGAGTTTGAAGTAAAAGTATTCTAGTGGAAGCACTCCATTACCGACTTAAAAATGTTTCTAGAACACATTTAAGCCTCCCCTTCTTCCCTTTTTTGCACTCCCAACAGAAGCTTTCGTGAAATTCCACGCATCCTAACATTTT